ATAAGGACACGGCAGTACATCCATTCTTCTGCTTCTCCTGCCTGCTTTACCATTTCATTGTCCTGTCTTTGATAAAGACACTGCAGTACATCCATTATTCTGCTTCTCCTGCCTGCTTTACCATTTCATTGCCCTGTTTGTCATAAGGACACGGCAGTACATCCATTCTTCTGCTTCTCCTGCCTGCTTTACCATTTCATTGTCCTGTCTTTGATAAAGACACTGCAGTACATCCATTATTCTGCTTCTCCTGCCTGCTTTACCATTTCATTGCCCTGTTTGTCATAAGGACACGGCAGTACATCCATTCTTCTGCTTCTCCTGCCTGCTTTACCATTTCATTGTCCTGTCTTTGATAAGGACACGGCAACACAACTATACTTCTGCTCCTCCTGCCGAGTGCCTGACTTGTTTTWTGCCGATCTTCATACCTTGGCCGAAGAAAAGTTGCACGTCCTGCATCGGCGTCCTTTTGTCTAGTATCACATGCTAGTACGAGCCCAACAAAAACATTTGTGTCGATTGATCCAAGAATGTTGAACTACACTGTAAGGGGTTTTCCTTCCGGTTTTCCTTTTTGATCTTCTACTGTTGTTGTTTTTATTTATTAGATTGTTTTGTTTGCTTTTTTTGTCATTTTATTTTGTTTTTAACGCGCTATTTTGTTTTTAACTATTGTTCTATAGATTTTTAATTAAGGTGCGTTTTATATTACCGATTTCCATTTCGAAGGAACACTTCCAAATTTTGACAATCCATGTGACAAGAGGTGACCAGTTAAGAGCATTGCCTAATACTACGTTAGTACGGTCCATTAAGCATATCCTTGGATCGTGTGGTAAATATTTGATGTCTCTTGCCTACAACGACTTAGCTTTGTTATCAAAGTCTAATTGATACCATGGTACGCTATTAACTACAGCAAAACATAAAGGTAAGAAAATGTAAACTGGTTACAAAACTGGATCAGTCAAAAATTAGTTTTTTGCCTTGAAAATAGACATTTCAGGATTATTGAATCTCGAAATTTCACGCTCTCATCTTTGACTTGATATAGACACCCTAGAAACTCTTATACCTACTTRATAATGAAACAACAATCATTGAGTGACTTTTTTAACGCAAAAATATTATATTTGAATTCAGTCTTAACAATTCTAATCCGAATACATCTATTAAAAGATGTTTTTATCAGATTTCTAATTTTTTTCTAATTCGGTAAATTCTCAAGAACAACAACTCCGCCCTTGTTAAGAACCGTGAAAAAGACTTCATAAAGTTTATTTGTTTTGGTTTATCAGTTTTATGTTATTCGGCGTTTAAAGAATGCGATGCCAACTCCTAAAAATATCAAAATCRTAAAAACGTGATATACAYCATATCTAGCTACACTGACTTGAGATTTTTCAAGAATTCTAACTTGTACACTTGAGCAATTATTGAGTCGTAGGTTCTACGGTGCACAACTAATACCAGCGCTAGATCATCATTTTATAATATAAATGTTCTAAATATGTTTGTATGTCAAGATCATATTTTGACTGCTTTTTAAGTATTTTCAGTTTATCTCGAYACAYAATAAAGCACCTGACCAGAACCAGGAAAAGATCAAGTACAAAACGATATCAAATTTTCATGAAGCCACCATTGTTTGTTTGCCCGATCAAATTGGATTTCTTATTACCTAACAATGGTGCTTTTTCTCAAACATTAAGACCATTTTCACTCAAAAATTAAGCAGAGACGGAAGCGTATACCATTCTGTGCTTATGAAAACGTAGTTGGAAAACGTAGAAGGAAACGTAAAAAGGCGAAGGTGAAACAGAATGGTTAGACAATGGAAACCTTCCGTTCTGTGTACCTCGCAGAATCTTTGTCCTTTCCGTYCTCGATTACTTCACTAGTGAAAATCAGTCCTTTAAAAAAGAATCGTGAGATATCGTTTTCGTTATTCATGGATTTGTATGATTAAAYAAACAAAAGTAACAAAGATTAATTTTCTTTGTGGTTTACCATTTAGTTTGTCTTATCGTGTGTTAATAAAAGATCGGATTCTAATGTCATATATAATTTTCATAACTAGAGTTAACAATAACAAAGACTTTTAAAAAAAATTCCTTGAGCATTTTAACTTAATAGGATGCATATTATAAGTCCGTAACATAGGATAAAATTCCTGATTTCCTGTTTGGCACAACCTGAATCTAACTATTGTACTTCCTCAAGTGCTTTTTTATGAAACAATTGATATAATKCTGTGTGATACCCRAAAATACAACGAAARACGTGCAAAATAAAGATTAATAAAGTATGATACTCTAAAGTTTATTTCACGGTATAATGAAAAAACTTTCAGGTATAKAGGATTTGTTTAATGGATTTGCAGTAGTTTCCATTAACAAAAGACTGATTCAATGACCAAACGACAATTCTGTCATTTTGAGCYATATAAAAAAACTAATGGTAATACAATATCAAAAAAATGTAATTCCGTTAATCTTCAAGTACATCCATTATAACGAAATCATCAATAATGCAAGATGACCGAAATGTGAAGTAGTTTCAWTGTAATAATGTAATGTAGCGTTACTGACTTGGGTAGATTCATGTAGTGACTGCAAAAGGTTGAAAACATACATGGGATAAGAAATCAGYTACAAGTCGATCGATGTKGATGTTTCCGGTACCCTGTTATTGTTGGATTAAATATAGTTTAATTTATATGCTTTTATGTGTAGTGAAGCGCTTTTGTTCGGTGGCCAAAGTCATGGTCTTTCTGGTCCATTTAKAAACCCCATTTATGACACGATATGTGATATAACTTATATCAGATATCACTACTAACGGAACCAGAACCACCATGACTTCTGCCACCGAACAAATGCGCTTCACATCACATTACATGTGAAAAGAGCTCAAATGGAAAGTGATATCACTTGCTATTAYTTTTGTGAGAGAGATTTCAATGAGTCGTAGTTGTTCTGGAAACTGTTAGGGAACGGAGTGGTTCTCTGGTAATTTACAGTAAGGGCGTGTTTGCCCCTCCCTTCATTTTCAATTTAAACTTCATAAGACTTTATTTCAGGTACTTATTACTTGCAGAATTTTATTACACATAAATGAGAAGGTCTATTGACTGTCTTTTATCGTTGCCAGATAACAAGAATGATAGTGAAGCATGGAGTGATTTTCTTCCTATGTGGGGCTGCATTATTACAAGTGGCACAATCTAGAACACATCACAAAGGACACTCTAAAAATGGTATAGATGTTTGTTTGAGTGATTATGTCTTCCTGGTATTGCCGCTCATTKTTGCTGCTGTTGTAAACTATTTTTCATTGTTTCTGGATTTAGCGCATCCATTTATTTGTTCCGTTATACTCTGTTATGTGATTTTTTATTAATTCGTCCGAACATCAGTGTGTTTGCTCTTTTTAGCATCACAGACAGTTAATGAAATTATCCTTTTAATACTTTCAGAACGTGGACAATTATCCAAGAGAACGTTGTACGGTTTTGTTAAAAACATTCAGCAATACAARCAAAATATTCATGAAAGATCTCATCCGAGATCATTCTACAGTTCCTACAACATTGGATATCCCTTTCCAGCACCGGCTCCCGCACCGGCACCTTATCCWATGTCGTATGCGAACTCATTTCCAAGCTACTACCCGTCTCCTGCCGCTGCCCCAGCGCCAGCCATGTAYCCTTCACCAGCAGCTCCTATGGCGGCTCCTGCGCCTGCATCTTCAGCAATTATGTATCCTGCGGCAGCTCCCATGGTGGCCCCTGCCCCTGCGCCATCACCAGTGATGTTTCCTGCAACAGCACCTGCAATGGCAGCTCCCATGATATTTCCTGGAAGCACTTTCCCTGGAAATACATTTGCTGGTGCGTTTCCTGGAAGTACATTTCCCCATTACTCGGCTAATGAAGATACCCAACCAGACCGAAATGAGGTCTTCACCATCAAAGGAAGACGTAAGTTTAGATCGATTTAACAAATATTACTTTGGTCACTATCTTCCAGATTAAAATGATCATTAAAAAAAAAACGTTTTACACAACCTTGTTTCAGATTTTAAGAGTATTGGATGCTGGACTGACAGTGTCTCTGATCGAGCTATAAACATTTTGGAGGGAAAACATCCTTTATTAAGAGACAGTAATTACAAAGCTCGCAGCAATGCTCTCATGAAATGCGCCGAGGCAGCCATGGACAAAAAATTCAAGTTCTTCGCATTGCAAAATGGTGGCCAGTGTTTTGGCCAGGCRGATCAGGTTGAATCGTACAAGAAGTTCGGACCCTCAATCAATTGTAAAGGTACAACAATATTGTTATTTTTTAAGGCTTATTGATAATCCTTCCTTGAAGACATTCCTTTTTACCTACAACCCCCACCACCTGCCCTTCCCCCTACSATTCCCAACTCATTCACAAAGAATAAGTCAAGCTAAAACATGCATCAAGCTAAAACATTTAACCAAGTTCTTCTCCAAAAGATATKTCGTAACGAGTGCTTAATTTGATGTTCAAGCATCAATTGCTTTTTAACCTCCGATTTAAATACAATCAAATGTACAACTATTTATTTTCAGGTGATGGAGAAGGCGGACCACAAAGTAACGAGGTTTACAGGTAKAAAGAAATATTACTATTATTGAGCAACACCAATATCTTGTAGCCGATAATTCAACCAACATATATAGGGTACAGACAAAGCTACAACAAACCGATTAAGAAMGTTTTCTACAATTTATATTATAGTTGAACATAATCTTTAGTAATATTTTAGCACCCATCCCAAAACGGGCGGTATTCTATAGTCTAATCCACTAACCTCTTTTGCAGTTTYATGRCAAATAATAAAACTGAAGTGCCTGATGAGCGGCCTCAAGGTGGCTTTAGTTGGTCTTCCTGGTCAGCGTGTGGTCTACCATGTACAGGTTTCCAAGGCGTTCAGTCCAGGAACCGATCTGCATGCATTACTCTTCCTCCTGTKACTATTAACCCGTGCAGTACCTACGAAACACGACCCTGTCAAATCACTATATGTCTACGTGAGTATCACTTACTGCTCGTCAKTAAMGTCATYCACTACTGACAWTGACCCCTGCAGTAAACCCACAGCAGTTAAGAAAGAGTACTCAGTTTATCGTGTGTATGSACCTCAATKTAAATTCTTGTTTAAAAACTGGAAACACCCTACTGTAAGATATCTTGAAAGGTTAAAAAAATCTAAGAGCTCAACTTTTTCAGCCCACGTACCAGCACCAGCACCGGCACCAGCACCAGCACCACCGCCCACTAAACCTCCAACACCACCACCAACCAAACCTTCACCACCACCACCAACAAAACCTCCTCCACCACCACCAACAAAACCTCCTCCACCGACAMGGGCACCTACACCGGCACCTACACCACCTCCAACACTTCCACCACCATCAACAACGATTCCAACACCATCAACTGCAGCTCCAACAGCAGCTCCGACGGCAGCTCCAACGGCATCTCCAACTCCAGGCCCAACAACGCGTCCAACTACTCCAGCACCTATATCAAATCGGCCTACAACCCCGTCTACAATACCACCGAGTACACCATCACCAACAACACTTGCCCCGACAACTATGCCTGCTACTACACAACCCGGTAATGAAAGGAAAGTAGTTTGCTTGACTTGATTACCTACTTCCCTGCCTGTTCACTCGCTTACTTGTTTGTTTATTTCTTCACTCTCGTTTGTTTACAATTATTCTTTATTAATCCATTGAATTTGTTTACTAATTAGTTCTATGATTGATTGATTTGATGGTTGCTGTTCATACTTTGTACTGTACTGTATTTTTTTACTAATTAGTTCTATGATTGATTGATTGGATGGTTGTTGTTCACACTTTGTATTGTTTTTTTTTTTTAGTCTGCAAAGCAAAAGTGGATCTTGGATTTTTGATCGATGGCTCGGGAAGTATTGAATACCAAGGAGCTGGAAACTTTGGTAAAGTAATAAATTTTGTCATACGGATGGTGAGGGAGTTCGAAGTATCACAGAAAGGCACACATGTCGGAGCCGTCCTTTTTGATCACCGAGCAAATGTCATCTTAAATTTTGACCAATTTTATGACAAACCGTCTATAATAGCTAAAATAAATAGTATTCGAAGTAAATATCCTGGAGGAGGAACTGCTACAGGTGCTGCGCTGAAGGTTGCACAAACAAATTTGTACTCCCAAAGCAAGCGCTTGAAAGGAGCACCAAAGATTCTCATAATCTTGACCGATGGTCAATCTCAAGACAAAGTGAGTGCCCCTGCACAGAGGCTACGYGATCTAGGAGTGACTATTTTTGCTGTTGGTATTGGTAAAGGCTTTAATATTCGTGAGTTGAATGACATGGCCACAGATCCCGATTCAGAGCACGTTTTTACTGCCGACTTCAACAGCCTTGGTACAATAGTGAAAGCCATCAAGGACAAAGCTTGTCAAGGTACGTTGTTTTCGAAAGAATCTTTCTAACAGCCGCGCGTTCTTAATTCTTTTCAACCTTATTTATTTTAGGAGCCGGGGGAGTCACAAAGCCAACACGTGAGTTTCTTTTAAACATTATCAGAGATGATGCTGTATAACCAACATCTTATGGATTGACAATAATTCTTTGTTCACTGGAATATCAACTTTATTTTATTTACAGAGCGACCCCCTACAACACTCGTTATGACACAGCCCACAACTCCAACCGGTAAGCTCGTACTTTTATACAGCACATCAAGGAAGCACATAATGAAATACTGTATTTTACTTGGAATGTTTGTGATGCGTTTTTTATGAATGCTAAACAGATTATAGACTGATATTGACCGTTGTATTTTCTAGTGTGCATTGCCAATGTGGACCTAGCGATGCTTGTCATGCCTTTGGATGCGTTTTTTATGAATGCTAGCTATACAGATTATAGTTTGATATTGACGTTGTATTTTCTAGTGTGCATTGCCAAGGTGGACCTAGCGATGCTTGTCATGCCTTTGGATGCGTTTCTTATGAATACTAGCTATACAGATGATAGATTGATATTGACGTTGTATTTTCTAGTGTGCATTGCCAATGTGGACCTAGCGATGCTTGTCATGCCTTTG